TTCACCATCTGAAAACAATTACTGTACATGGCCTAATTTAATGAGACCTTCCATATTCATCTCTTCCCTTGTGCGAGAATCGCTTATGAAATAGGGGATGGTTACTGGTGGCCTTGTCACAGGGTAGCAGGAATTTGAATTTTCAGCCTGGCTCGATGATGGAGTGGGCTACTGCCTGGGCAAAAGGTATAAGCTTCAGACGCGACGCTAATCAAGATGTTGGCGGTTTTTTTGCTCAGGTCAGTGTGTTCAATTTTTCCGCTTTGCTATCACTGCTTTATTGGGTTTCTCATAATCGCTTTTGTGGAAAATTAGCAATAATTAATCTTCCAGGTTGGCCAGTTGTACATAGTATATCATATCTGGGCATATCCGTCTATGTGTGCACGAAACGAGACACGTCAGGCTACATGGGCGAAGCCAGGCTGGGATGCTACAGTTGCTTACACTGGTAATTATTCTCACTGCTCTAAGTATTTACTCCTCTTTGTGATTTCGACAGCGATACCTCAAAGGCTCTTCGGTAGACTCAGATTAGTTCCGGAAATTTTCTAGGCGGTCCGGAAACAAATACTAACTCAGCTTTCTGATCAAGTAAAGTACAGATATAACTGACTCGGAAGGATCCTCAATGTCTTTGAAAATTCCCCACCAAGAAGGTCAAAAGTATGTTTCATGGATAATGTTAGGATTCAAATACGTGTGATCCAAATCATAAATAGAGCGTTTCGGGACGAAAGTGGTGATTAGCGGCGATAAACTGGAATGATATCGATCGTACTGACGATGGAGAGCTGGTCTGATTCTTTGGAGCTGTCATTTCAGCTGTACATATTCTTTTGCTAGGATGCCAAAGTTCCGGATGCCGTTTTTGTTTTTACCTACACACATTTCCTATTTGTCGACCCTTGCTAAAAATTGGGTCAGATATAACAGTGACTAAGATTTTTATAATTTTCAAAGTTCTGTTGTTATAACGTAAATGCAACTATTCACCATGAGACTGGTATCATCTCAGTTTTTGAATGAACGTGATTTCGGCTTTATTTCCGAGTGTGCGCATATTTGGGACGATTTCTCTCGCAGTATGACTAGAAATAAGCCTTGTGCGTCGTGTTTCGCGCAGTAAGGCTAGAGTTTGAACTATTCTCGTTCGATTCAAGATGAAGTGGTTATGCTTAGGTGGAGTAAGATGTTTATTAAGTATTTAGTTCGGAAAGAAACTTTTTTTTTACTTTTCTCTCCGTAGTTGCTTTTACAGTTGTTGGCCAAGACAAATGAAGCTGAGGTGATCATAATCAGCGGAATATCATTTAAAGCATATACAAGAGGGTCTATCGATACTATTAGGGATGCTTTGTCAACATCTATGTAATTCTATTAAATCTTAATTTTTCAGTTCCCCTTATCAAGGTGATGCAGTCCAGAATCCTTTCTCCCACAAAATACTCCCAACTGCAGTGAGGAGTGTTTATTTTCACCTCGGAAGTGAAGAGCTTCCAATCTTCTTGGCTGCTTTTGCCCATGTACTTTACTGTATTGGATTTGGTTGGTGCATTGTCAGGAATTTCTGCAATCAAACATACCCATTCAGTACATATCTGTATGCCCATAGTTTTAAATGATGTATGCCAATATATTACGTTGTAGCTATAGACGTGTGTTTATTTAGTTGGTCTCAGTAAATAAATGTACATAATCTTCTTTTGTTCAAATATTAATGTACACTTGTTGGCATCAAGAGTATCTACTGTAGTTCATCCATCCGCTTTTCCAATATTCCGTCATCTCTTAATCGCCCCAATCGGGACAGTGAAGGATCTATGACGTTATGGTATCTAAACGTGCTGTCGTTTACCACCTTTGCTTTGTTTTCCTTCGGCCATATTGCTTTAGATGTTTTGCAGGGTGTATCGTTATACTTTGTGATCTACCGCTGTTTTCACAAGTATTGCTGTTTGTATTAAGGTTTCTGCTTACATTTCCTAAGAGTATCAATGGCTAACCCATTCGACGATGACTACAGGAGCAGTCCGGCGGCAAGCAACAGTTTGTTTTGCTTTTTTCTGTTTTAAATTCACTTCTAGGCTCATAGTTTATTGGGATGGAATACTGCTTATTTCTCTCTCACTGTTTTTTTAGGCAAGTTGAAGAGTTACACGACTCACTCGAACAATATTGAGGATGAGGCGGACTTTTACGAAAAAGAGATTGAGAAGTACATGCAAGAGTCTCTCGATAGCACAGAGAGGTCAAGGCGTCATTTGGAGAATTCGGAGAAAATCGGAGCTCAGACCGCTCAAGTACTTCACTTACTAAGCATATAGTTTTGTGGTATAAAGCCTTCACATGATAACTAATACCGCATTTCAGGACTTACTCGAACAGCGTGAAAAACTGGAAAGAACAGAACGCAATCTTGATGAGATACATAGAACTACCCAGGTTGAATTTCCTTCATATTATTGATTTCTTCCATAATTCCTTATCTTTTTAGATTACCCAACGGTAATCTGAATAGCTTGAAGTCGGTGTTTGGAGGTTTCTTCAAGAATAAATTCAGTCGCAAGCCGCAGGAAGGTCCTTTAGAGGTAGGTGGAGGTCTTCATATTGATACGGTTGCCAGTCATCCACTGAGGGTTTGTAATAACTTAGGTAGGACGTTGCTTTCACATCCAACTATGTGAATAGCCTAAGAAGAGAATACACGTTTATAGCAGATGCCGCAATCCAAGTCTGCATCTCGCTTGTCGGAGACTGTTGGCGACATTGGTGGTGCTGGAGGCTCGTCGTCGTCATTCTCTGGGACGACTGGTGCACCACAACCCACGTTAAGTGAATCGAGCAGAAATGCAATCAAAGGAACTCGATGGGAGGTCATGGATAATCAAATAGACGAGAATTTGGGTTAGTTTAAAAACTTCATCTCGCGAAAATCATATCTGTTAGGTTGTTGCAACATGATATGAACTGGTTTCACCTTTCTTTGTTCAAGTTGTGCGGAAATGGTGATGGTAGAAGTGCACTTAAGGTTAGCGAATTCTCAGGTGTTGCTTAACTCCTTTTCATCCCGAACTGCTCGATTTCTCCACTTGAAATTCTTCTCGAGCACATATGACCACATGAGCACGCAAAGCTTGAACGCAAGGCACGGCGAGACTCAATATTGGGCACATCCTCCATGATGCTCATTGGCGTTAGGTTTAGCTTCATTTGGTCACCAATGATGAAAAGTAGATCCTATTGGCCGATGTCAGACTTTGCGATTGGAGCGATTTTGCACCAATTGCAGGAGCGACGGGAGATTTACACCGCCGACCACCGATACACACGGCGCCGCTCGGGTAAATCTCCCGTCGCTCCTGCAATTGGTGCAAAATCGCTCCAATCGCAAAGTCTGACATCGGCCATTGGCTATTCGTCGTGATAGAGTGAGCCAGTGATAAGCAGTGGCCTATTAATGAATGAAAGGGATTAAAGCGGTATGCAGTGTTTGTGTTAGGGCGTGAAAGAACTACCGCATTTCCAGTAGCTATTTCCAATGGAGACGGCGACGTGAAAACTAACCGAACAGTAGGGGACCTAAGCCGTGCTAATACGAGCTATTATAGATACATTTTTGCTAAGCTAATACCAAGTTGGTCTGATCGGGATCATTCAGGAACGAAATGGGAAATTCGAGATGCTGCCTTTTCTGTTAAGCATTCTTGCCTTCGTGTATTTTCATTTGTAGTTTTCCTTTTGATTCGGTACTTTTTGGAAGAAAGATTCACAATCTTCACATAAATCCGCTTTTTGGTGGCTTCGTCACTTCG